TGACCAAACTGGGCAGCTCTGCAACTGCATCCTGGCCCATCCTCACCCTTCTGCCCCCAACCCTCACCTCCTTGTACCCCCAATATGTTTTTCCCAATAAAAAATATTTAAAAAAAAAAAAGAACAGTCTTCCATGCTGTTGGGCCTATACCTACTCATTCCAATCTGACTGCCCTATTGGATCTGAAATCCATTGCAATAAATACACAGAACTCACAAAACCATACTCACAGTTAGGAGTTTTTAGGGCTGTTAAAAATTTATAAGTCTGATTGACAACAGGATATAATTCCTCAGTCCAGACAGCTTCTAAAGAGCTCATAGGCTCTTTAATCTTCTGCATCATGGTTTAGGCAAGTACTACCACGTTTTCTTTGCTATAATTGTTGTTATGTGTTATTGAGTTGGCTGACTCTCCCCTGCAGTGGGTTTACAGCAGCTGCAAATCACATGGGATATGAGTGTTCATGTTTCTTCTGCTGATCCACTGACGAACTTGAGTCACATGCCTTTGCAGCACAACTCCTTACCACTATGCCACCAGAGCTCTTACAAAGTTCCCTATGTCCCACTAATTACGGTGTCTTCCCTCAGTCCTCCAGCAAGCTTGGATACAGACTCTGGTTCAACGGTGCAGCAATCTCATGTAAGCTCTGTCTCATGTTGGTCTCTAGTTGTCTATGGTTGTGCTGCTGCTCTTGCGTAGATTCCTATCTGACTGGTGCAGGAATCTCTCGTCCAGAAGGAAGCATTGTACTCAGTACTTCCCTTTCTTGTTAGTAGTGAGATTCTTACCTTTACTGCGAGATGCACTCAATTTAATTTGGTGGGATGGAGAAAATGGACCAATCCCATAATGATGACACAAACTTTATGTTGTCTCCCACTTATGTGGTTAAAGTCAAAGTCGATTAAAAAAAAAGAAAAAAATAGGAAAGCTATTTTAAACAATAATCCCTGAATTATTGCCTTACTCAATACCTTGAGGCAAGGAAAAGCATTTGCATTCTCATTGTACCCATTGTCAAGTCTGCATATGGAATAATGATTCAGTACTTATTCAATGAATAAATGAATACATTCTTCTGCTATGATCAGAACTGTATCTATTCACCAGCTGAGCCCTGAGAATTTAAACTCTGTGTGCTTGTTCATGTCACTTCTTCATCAGGAAATAATCACTGCCTTTCCTCTTTCATCCCCGGATATGACTTTCTAAGTTCACTATTGTTAAGAACCAACTCAAAACATGTGTCATCTGTGAGGTCTTCTTTGACTTTGCTGATGTATCTCTTTATTACAGTCAATGGTGAAATAATGGGTGGAATAATTCTAGAGCCAACTATCTTCCTGTTGTATACCTGTACAGTACACCTGTACTGTTGAAACTAGATTAAAATATTTAAAATTAATAACTGCTCAACTTAAGTGAACCTGGCAAAATAATGACATTTTCTTGGTCTATTCATTCTCCAACTCTGGCAGAAATTAACTGAAGGGAATTTTCATATCTACTCATTTACTGCCCTCCCTTCTGTATATCTGAGTGAATTGTATGTACTTCTGTATGTGACTGTAAGGAGTTGATATTTTTTTTAAAGACATATTCATAATTTAACCTCCTGCACCTGTGGATGTGAACTTATTTGGATGCAGGGCCTTTATAGATGAAATAAAATTAAGGTGGGTGGATTTGTCTTGGATTCAAATGGGCACTAATCTAGTGATTCATGTCTTTTTAAGAAAAAAAAGAGAAGGCTATTTGGATACAAAGGCCTAGAGAATAGGGCCATGTGACAGTAGTGGCATAGCTGTGAATGATGTATCAACATAAAACATTTGATTGCTAGGTATAATTGGTCTTCTTTTGCCTAGAATAACAAAGAAGGAAAAATCAGAAAAAAGGTGGAGGGATTTGGATATGTGTCTAATTGCTTCCACAAACAATTGCCTCCTTTGTGATGACTAGAGAACTGGATAATGTTTGACTATTACTGGAAGTTTGGATGAAACACTATGGAGAAGAATCCTGATCAAAGGGAAAAACATAGAACAGAATTTCCAAAAAAACCCCAAAACCAACCAACCAACCAAACAAACAAAAACCAAACAAAAAAAAAAAAAAGGAAATATTTTCTTCTTTTGGAATCCAGAGCACCAAATGCTTCTGTTATTCCTCTACCTCAGCTATCATCCTTTATTCATCTGTTTTTTGCTGATTCTTCCTCAATACCCCACTCTCTAAATATGCTTGGGACATAATTATTGCATTAACCTCCTTATAACTTCCCTAGAATTTTTTTCCTCAACATAATAACCAAAAAGACTAAATGAGATTATATCATCCCTTTGTTCATATTTTTCCACTCTTTCTCACCAAAACAATGGTAAAGACAATGAATTCTGAATCACCATGAAGAATCTGTATTCTGGAATCCTGGCTCTTTTATTACCTATTTCCCACTTATACTGTTATCTATAGGTTACTGTTTAGCTATGGGGGGCACTGGTGGTGAGTTTCACTGGGAGTTGTGCTGTTAACCCAAAGGCTTCTGGAAACCTGCTGGAGGGTCAGCTATGAGTTGGTTCTAACTCAGTGACACATAACAAAAATAGATATGTAAATTTTTTTTTTTGTTGTTGTTGTATTGTGTCAGAACCAACCCATAGCTCACCCTCCAGCAGGTTTTCAGAGACATAATCACATGGAAGGAGATTGCCCATCTTTCTCCCATGAAGCATCTGGTGGATTTAAACTGTGTGCCTTTGGGATTACAGTGCAGTTCCTTATCACTAGACCACCACACACACACACACACACACACACACACATTCTGTGGTTTTTAAAATATTTAGTTTACTTTTTATAATACTGATTTATTTACAAAGTATGATCCTTCCCATCTCCTTCACCTCATTCATCCATCAGACTGTGCAACCCTATGATTAACACCCCCTCTTCCCCGTGCCCATCATCACCCCTCTGCTTCCAACCTCCCCAGCTTGGGTCCTCATACTCATTGTACAATAATTGTTTTATACTGAATTTGTCCTTGTGGGACTGAGTTAGTTCACTCAGCATGATGCTCTCTAGTCCCTTCCAAGTTAGGTAGTAATTTACAAAATCATTGCTCCTGTGTGCTGTGTAGTATTCCATTGTATGAATGTACTTTGAGGGAGAAATAAGACTCCTAGAAATGTAAAATATGTATGTAACTTCAGCCAAAGATTGAAGAACATCTGACCTACATAAATAAATGTGTTCTAGAATACAGGCACTTCCATGATTCCATGAATAATGCAGGTACATAGGACATATAATGTATGTTTTAGTAAAGTTATATTGTTTTCATTATTACCCCAGTTTTGTGGCATTACAGAGCCTTAAAGTTCAAACTGAATATTGAAACGAAGGGCACCCCAAATAAAAGATACACACCAACTTTGTTTTAAAAGAAACAGTATTTATTAAGAAATTCTATGATGAATTTTCCTACAGTCTGTGAAGATGGTTTCCTCCATTTCCACAGCACAAGACAACTAAGAGCATTTGGAAAACACTTGCAACGCTTGGGCATGGAGAATTCTTGAGATCAGGAGATAGGATGAAGTGACATCTGTATTCCTTTAAACTTCTTGGTCCAAAGAAAAGACACTCTTTTCCTTGCCATCCAGGTTTTCACCTAGTCAAGCATTGAAACCTCGTCATAACCCAGTTTGGAGTATCACATAATAATTAGATCAATTCAGTTCACCAGAGATGAGCATGTTCAAGTCAGTCACAGGTCCAACCAATAGTCCTTTAACTATTTTATGAGATCTGAAATATTTTCATTCTTTAGTAATAAAAATGGTGCTTACAGAGGGCAGAAATAGATCCTTTTCAAATATTTTATCCTTATGAACTGAATTATTTTGGACTATAAATTAAAAATAAATTATAAAAAGTAGCATATGGTATATTTTTTTCTTACATGAGTATTGGAAATAAGCTTTAAACATAGAATTGTAGTATCACCTGACTTTATATATGATCAACAGTAAAACATGCTAATCATAAAAATAGCTTTTACAAATATACATTTGTATACAGTATCTCCCTTATCATTCATAACTGCCTTTCACATTTTATGACTGTTAAGACTTAAAAAACAAGCCAAAACCAAATATAATTTGTGGGAGGAAAACACATTTACAATTGAAACCATAAAACCCTGACAAGTTTAGAACAAAGAAGAAATGGAACTTCTAAAACTGAACAATACTGTCCATTTTATTTACTTATTTGGGTATTTATATAAATTGAACCAAAGATGTTGCTATCCAGTAAGAAGCTTCCTTTCACATTTCTGGGTGTTGTCACAGTTTCTCTTTTCTGCTTTCGTGGTGTCGCACATTACTTCAAATCATTTTATCTGTAGAAACTGAGAAGAGAAAAAAACATTTTCAAATACAGAGATTTGTGTTTAATTTTTAATAGCATACATCTATGTGTTTGATTTTCAAGGCTAAATCACTATAAAGAGGAAGAATTAGATATTTAAACAAATACAGTTGATGATTGTAAGCAATTTAAAAATTATTTACATTTATATTATGCTATAATTATTTTTTTAACTCTTAAAAGAAACTCTTTGAAATCAGGAATAACTAATCTTTTTTGTTAGTCTGTGACAAACTACTTGCAGCTCTATGCTAAAGCATGAGATTTCTGTTGCCCATCAGTCTTTGCTGTGCCTAACAAGAATGACTGGGATATTCTTCTCCTCTAAAAGGCTTTCTCCATAAGTTAATCTTAAACTTCATGGACTTGGGAAAGGAGAAAATGGTAATGTAGTCCTCTGATATGTGTTATGTAATCTTGACTACAAAAGAAGAAAGCCAGAAGCAGGAAGAGCAGTGGATGCTTTAAAATGATTCAGAAACATTATAAAAGAACTATAATTCAATTAGTTGAAGAACTGGATCGAGAAGTTGAATCCAATAAATAATGTACAATAATGTCAGATTCTATAAATGGGGAAAGACATTATTTTATCAAAGGCTTTATTCAAGGCTTTTAAGTTTAGATTAAACTAAAAACTCAAACTCAATGCTGTTGAGTTGGTTCCAACTCATAGTGATTCAAGTTTCCAAATTGATAAATGTAAAAGAGAGGGCAGCCTTTTTCCTGTAAAGTCACTGGTAGATTAGGATCTCAGGAGACCAGCAGCCTTTAGGGTTAGCAGCCAACCTTGCTCTGACTTATACTACCAGAATATAATTACATACCCTGGTGTTCAATACATTTTGAAGGTCTTTGAAATCATGTGGAAAAATCTATGTCCGTGTCTTTAGAGCCAAAGACAAGCAAATCAAGTACCAATTTAGATGAGAACTGATGACTCCTGTGAATATCCAGAGAATTAGGTAATATGATCTTTTATTAAAGTTTTGACACACACGATCTTGAGATTATGAAAAGACTGAAAATGACAAGGTGGAAAGAATATCTTTGATTTCAACTCCAGCTTTCATAGCTTATCAAACTGCTGGTTGAAAAGAACTCAGTGAACCTGGTTGGTAATTTTTTCCCTTTCATAATATAATATTGTTGTTGTTATATATCATCAAGTCAGAATCTACCCATATGCAATCCTCCAGTGGGTTTTTTCTCATGAGAGGAGATTGTCCAACTTTCTCCCAAGGAGTGGCGGATGGATTTGAACCATATGCTTTATGGTTAGTTGGCAGTGCACTTTTTTACCACTAGGCCAACAGAGCATCTTTCAAATGAAATAATGCATACATTTAAATAACTGTAACAAAATGTTATCTTCCTTAGTGAGTAAAATCTCTAAGACAATTTAGATTTAAACAAAAATGTTTACGAGAATAGTAATCATAGTACTAATATTTTTGCATTAAAAATAAACATGTGAACATCTGGTGACTCTTGTTTAAGAGCCTTTGGTTTATTAGAGTGACAATATTATAATTTTAGTTAAAATGCACAACTAAAAAGTTGATTGAGACATAGGATTTCAATTTAATGATTTGAAATCTTACTAAGTCTGTGCATGCTAGTGGAAAATTTAAGAACATCATATTTATACATTTTATTTATTAGAGTTTAAGATTAAATTCAGTGTCAATGCTTACACATTAAATCAGATGGCTTAAATATGGAAAAAGATGTAAAACACATTAAATTTGCAAGTGTCAGTTACAGAACTCGAATACATTTAATTTAGTGATCTGGGAAAATCATTATTCAAAGTATTTTTATTAAAGTTTTTTAATTGTGATTTGAACAAAATTTTACAGAGCAGAATGAGAGTCCATTAGCCATTCATTCATATTTTGTTTCTGACTTTGAGTATAATCCCCACGCCATATTAGGATTCTTCCCACTATCTCTTTGAGGTTCTGGGCTGCCTTCCATCCTCTCCCTTCCTATCTTTTAAATTTTGTTCTTGGACAAGTGCTACCCTAACGATCCTGCAGGTTAGTTATTGTAAAAGCTGAGTACCCACCTCCCTGGTGTTTCTGTTCATTTTATAGGTCTGTCTAATATTGACTATACGTTGTTCCACAAGGTAAATGCCGTTTTGGACTCAAAGTGCAGTTAAGAGGTATAGCCTCTGGGGTTCCAGAAGTCTCTATTAGACCAGTAAGCCTGGACATGGCTGTAATTTTGCATTTTGTTCTACATTTATCTTCTTCTGACCAGATTCCTACATTGTGATCTGTTTCAGAGTGGTTAGCCGTGGTAGTCAGGCCCTATCTTGTTCTTCTGGTCTTAGGGTTGTGGAAGTTTCGGATGTAGAGGCCAGTGGTTGCTCTGAACTAATACTTTCCACTCATCTTTTACTTTCTTCACTCTTACTTCCCCTAAACAAGGAGAGATCAACGGTTTCATCTTAGACTGCTGCTCACCAGCTTTTAGGCCCCAGTTGCTAGTTGGTGGTGGCCCAGTGGCAAGAAGCTGCACTGTAATCCCCAAAGCAGGTTCCAACCCACCAGCTGCTCCATGGTAGAAGGATGGGCAATCTTATTCCATGCAATTAACTTCCTCTGAAAACACACTGGAGGGTCATCTATGGGTCAGTTCTGACTCAATGACATACACACAACAAACAACAACAACTTTATCAATGTAGGGTGTACAACATTGTCCTGGTAGACTACATTAGGCCCATTGACCTTGATGTCCCTGCTCTCGCCAAGTCTATGATTCTGAGTTATCATCACCAAAGATGAGCAATCTCCTTTCATGTGATTTACCGCATCTGAAAACCCACCAGAGGGTCAGCTATGGATTAATTCCTACTCAACAAATCACAATATTACTAGGGTTTTAAGTTACAGCTTTCTGAAGCAGATAGCCAAGTCTGTCTTCCTGATAAGGTGGGGTTTTTTTTGTTTGTTTTTTTTTTGCTTTGTTTGTTTGTTTGTTTCTACCAAGTACTTGAGCACTTAACTTTTTTATTTGTCTTTTTTATTATTATTAATTTTAATAAACATTTACAGGGACTTTGGGTTTCCATTCATTCATTGTTGCACTTAGCACTTAACTTTTTATGCTATCCAAGGAACAAGACATGATATTTTTCATTTGCTTCCTATGCATCTCAAAGTTGGGAAGCTTATAAAGATGGCAGAAGAATTGATGTTTTTGAATTACAGTGTTGGAGAAGATTACCAAATATCTCATGGACTGTCAAATGAACAAACAAGTCTGTCTTAGAGGACGTGCACCACAGTGCTCCTTAGAGACAAAGGAGGGTAAAATTTTCTATTACATACTTTGGGTATGTTGTCAGGAGGGACCAGACCTTGGAATTAAAGGATCAGAGAAAGAGAGGAAGCCGCTCAATAAAACGGATTGACACAGTGACTGTAAGAATGGCTTTGAGCATATCAGAAATGATGAGATAGCATAGGATAGGCAAAGTTCAGATTTGTTGTTCATGACCTTATTACGACCATGACCAGTGACTCATTCCCTCAGGGGATCTTATCATGGTTAAGAATTTCATGTAATATTGCCTCCTGTTGTCTCTACTGTATACATGAATATATTTCCAGGATATTATCATTGTTGTTGTGATGCCATTGAATTAAGTGTGACTCATAGCGACCCAATGAATAACAGATCTGAACCCTGTCCTATCCTGTGCCATCCCCTCACTTTCTGACACACTAGAGCTCATTGCAGCAGTCACTGTGTCACTCCACCAGGTTGAGGGTCTTCTTCTCTTTTGCTGACTCTCTTCTTTTCCAAGCATGATGTCCTTCTCCAAGGAATAGCCTCTCCAGTCAATATGCTTAAAGTATGTAAGAGACAACTTTGTTATCTTTGCTTCCAATGAGCTCTCTGACTGCATTATCTCTAACACATATTTGTTTGTTCCTTTAGTGGTCCATAGGATATTTAGTACTCTTCTTCAGTGCTATAGCTCAAAGGCATCAATTCTTCTTCTGTCATTTTTATTTATTGTCCAGCTCTCAGAAGCATAGAAAATGGCTGTAGACAATGGCCTAAATCAAACGCACCTTAGTCTTTACACCAACATCATTGCTCCTCAATAATTTAGAGAAGTCTCTGACTGAGGACTTTCCCCCTGCAATATGCTTCCTGCCAAACTTATGGTTGACGATTGTTGCAGTCCTTTTCGCTTGCTCAGTATCTATTTGCTTGTCTTTCTGCTGTGTAATTTACCTATTGGTTATGTTTGTTATTGTTGGTAATGTAAGATTGTGTATGTAATTATCTATTGTTACCTCTTCAAAATTATTTTTTAAAGTATTTTGCAAACTTTACTGTAATGGTAAATATAACCCTAATAATTTTTATTTAAAAGCTTTAATGAGTAATTATTAATTAAAAAGAAATTGCTGCCTCTTCAAAACTTTCTGTACAATCAAAAGAATTAAAAACCTTGATTTATACCTAGTAAGAACACCTCCATGCTAAAGTACATGGAAATATTTTCTATTCTGATGCTCTCTCTTTTTGCTTCCTGCTCTCCATTTCTCTTCCCTCTGCCTTTCTCCTCTCCTTGTCTACATTGTAGAAATACTGACATGTGATGCAGAGGATGTGCCTCTTCTGCAGTGTGAAAAGTCAGTCTTTAATCCCAAGATTTTGAAGTTCTGGTGTAATGTAGGTAAATACTTTTTGTGCAACGCAAAGGAAATTTTAGTGGAGCTCTGGCAGCCTACTCTGGAGTGAGCTTTAGTGATAAACCCAAAGGCTGTATATCTCTGTGGTTCAAGGTTTGAATCTGCCAGTAGATTAATTGGAGAACGGTGACAGTTCCTTCCCCCTGCTGTGACAGAGACTGATGGAGAGTTGCTATGAGAAGGAAGAGTAGGAAGCCATACAATACAATGGCAGTGAGTTTGAATTTTGAAAAGAAATGTTTTAAGTTACCTGTTT